ATATCAGTGTTAATGCTGAAAGATCAGAGAAGCAGAGCAGCCAGCCACTAGTTCTCACCTCTACTGAATTCTCAGACCAAAGGGGCGATCCTGCCCTACGAATCCTCAGACTGAATGCTGTCTCTATGAATCCTCAGACTGAATGCTGTCTCTATGAATCCTCAGACTGAATGCTGTCTCTATGAATCCTCAGACTGAATGCTGTCTCTATGAATCCTCAGACTGAATGCTGTCTCTATGAATCCTCAGACTGAATGCTGTCTCTATGAATCCTCAGACTGAATGCTGTCTCTATGAATCCTCAGACTGAATGCTGTCTCTATGAATCCTCAGACTGAATGCTGTCTCTATGAATCCTCAGACTGAATGCTGTCTCTGTGAATCCTCAGACTGAATGCCATGAGCCCCTGTCTCTTCCTGCCTTACATTCCTCTATCCACCTAGCCGAATCACCCCTGTCTCCAGCTCCCTAGTGCTAGGATTAAAGGTGTGGCCACCACTGCCTGGCGTCTATAGCTAACTAGTGTGGCTAGCTCTGCACTCTGATCTCCAGGCAAGCTTTGTTTGTTACAGCACAAACAAAATAGCACTACATCTGATCACAATGAATATTTTTAAACAGACTAATAATAGACTTCAGAACATTTCTTTCTGTTCCTCTAATGATCTTGGTTCGTTTTTTTTCTGAGTTCCACGTTGTCCCTCAGTGGCCACTGACTAGCCTTGGCACTGTTCTTAGGACCTGATAAAGGTGGCCTTTGCTCTGGTTGAGAATGTGACACTCTCAGTTTCTTTTGGGTAGCTCCCAGGAGTCATTTCACGAAGCTGCATGCAGATCTTTGTTCTTGTGGTGGTAAAGGGAAATGTCGTCATTCCGTTAGGGCATGTAAGCCTGGCTATGCAGGTATTGTGTACATAGGATGTTGCCAGTTCCCTCAGGTGGAGCACACACCTGCCTGTACCTAATACCTCTTCGCCCATGCACAGAGATAACAGACAGCAAGGCTTAGTGTCTGACCCACTTGTGTGTCCCTAGCACCCACAGTGAGGCCAATGACCTTCCTGATGGTTCTAGACCCCCTTTCTGGTATCCTCTGCCTGTGGGCACAGGACACTGCCATGTTTTACACACGCTTTTTGCTTTGGTTTTCCTAAGGCTGGTTTTCTGTTTTCTGTGGGCAGGCAGCTCATACTCAGGAAGTTCTCCAGAAGTGTGACAACTTGAGTGGGCTTCCTCCAAAGTCTGGCAACTGTGGGGGGGATTTCTCAATACTCTGCTCCCCTTCTTGTTTTCAGTGTGCATGTGAATATTTTTTTCAAAACAATCTTTTCTCATTCCTGGAGATTTGCTGAAGGGAGGGAGAAAGGGAGCCTTTTTCTTTCTTGATCTTGCTCTGTTTGTAATCCTGTAACCAGTAACCTGTTAAGCGAGTAGTTTAATGTCCTCACTAATTGAAACTTGATGCCCATTTTGTGCAGTGCTTTAGATTATAATTCTCCCATTCTGTAGCTCAGGCTGGCCTGGAACTTACTATGTAGCCTGGGTCAGTGTCCAAATCATGGTATTCCTCCTGCTTCAGACCATCCAGTGTAGGGAGACACTGTAGCCCCGCCTCCTAGTAGCCGGGACAGGTGTGCCAGGACATGCCCGGGAGGGCAAGGTGAGGGGAAGTCTAAGGTGACGGGAACGGTTTTTAAGGGACCGAGCACATGTGGAGACCCCTTCTTCCTTCTCTCTGGCCTGGCTGCCTTGCTGCCCCTGGCACGCTTTGGCTTGTGCTTGGCTGGTGTTTGTCTGAATAAACAAACCTTAGCCTTATGGACTGTGGATCGATCTCGTCAATCCAGTGCTGGGATTCCAGGCTTGGGCCACCTCTGAAGCTACAGCAGACCTTTAAAGGTTAAGTGAGAATGAAGGGATTAGCTTTAAATGTTGAGACTGGATTTTGATGAGTTTATAGAAGGTCACAGGACCAACAAATGGACAAGTGGATCTAAATGTGTGATGCAAAGGCGTGCTGGAGCACGTAGAGGCTGGAGCACATAGAGGCTGGAGCCCAGCGAGGGCGGAAACAGCTGTGGTGCCACTAACCTGTGATCTTAATATAATTTTATAACAAAAGGAGTAAAATTCAAAACCAACACTGTTAAACTGTCAATCACTAAATATTAACTACATCAGCTAGACAGCAAATGATAGAGTTGAATTGAATTATTTTTTAAAAAATACATTCTATATGGCTACTGTGTGTGTGTGTGTGTGTGTGTGTGTGTGTGTGTGTGTGTTGTCTGTCTGTCTGTGAATGTGTCCCCATGTGCATGTGGAGGCCAGATGACAGCCTGTGGGAATTGCTTCTGTCCTTGCATCCTGTGAGTTCTGGGAATTGAACTGGGTTTGTTGGGCTTGGCCAGTGTCACCTTTCCCTGCTGAGCAGACTATAGTAAGTTCAAGATGGTGCTCATTTTCAAAGTTAAAACCCAAAGAGAAATGGCAGTCCCCTCCTAGAGCAATCAGCTTGGGGCGTCTGAGAGGTCATCCCTCTGGGCTTGAGAAGCAACCCTTCCTTTCTTGTCAGACAAAGAACCGTTATTGCCACAGGGCTTTGGATCTCTGTATTGGCATCGAGCCTCACATGCTTGTAAGCCTGATTCACCCCTGCTACCTGTGGCCGCATTCAGTCCATAGAG